TCCTTCCTTCCTTCCTTCCTTTCTTCCATCTGTCTGTCCATCCATCCATTCGAGACCGTCTGCTGTGTTGTACGAGAAGGCTTTGGGGTCGCCCCGTTAAATTTACCTCCAGGGAAGTTCGGGAGGCTCTGAACTTTGCCAGCTGAAGTTTGCTGATCAGTTCAAAGGCACATTAACGCAGCGGGGATGTATTGACACTGAGTAATCCTGCTAATTAAACTCGGAAAGCCGTGTCTTGGAGCGATATCGACATTAACATAGGAAAGGCTCAGGTCGGTTGACGAAAGGCTTTTAGCGATGTGACACCCCGGATGCTCTTGGGCATGTATGAGTTTCACTTGCTCTGTTCTGTTAATCTATGAAATGGGTGCACGTTGCTCTCATTTTTGCAGCCAGGGCAGGTTCTTGGCCTTCTGGAGTATCACTGATGCGCTGGATCCACAGTGCGTTTCTCTCCCTCTGTGCAGAAAGTGGTGTATGCAAGGACTGTACGTGTGCTTTGTGTTACAAAGTACTGCCACTGCTACAATAGAATCGCAGCTCTGTGGTGAGGAGGTCTCAGCTGTTAAACTGAACAGAACTGAAAGCAGGAAGTGAGGACAGTGTTGGTTTTAACTGAAACAGAGGGTAGGGATCCCTGCTGTGTGGCTGGTGGTGCATTGGCTAAACAGTTGCCTTCCGGTGCTCATTCACCAGTGGCTCAGTGTCCCATCCATACCTTTTGGGACAGTATGTAACTTCCTCAAATATAAAACTTCTGGCTCCTAGGGTCTCTTGTGTTTTGGAAGCTTCTGCATGGAGAAGGCCTATTTTGCTCTTTGTCTGCTCAGATCAAGCATGTGGATGCTTTCCTGCTAGGTCTGGGTAGCAGAAAGAACAGGCAGACTGGCACATGGTGCTTTGATGGTTACGGGAGGTTTCCCATACACCCAGCTTTACCAGGAACTAATGCAAGTGGGACATTGTGTTTTTCTTCTATATTCCTGTTTCCTTCAAGCTGGGCCTGAATTTATGTCTGTCTCTGGATATAGTGGAAATCAATTGCTAAGGTATACCTAGACAAAACTGGCATGGAGGAATTCCTGGGCATGGTGTGCAGTGTTGAGTAAAAAGCCCGAAAGGTTGGTCTCGACTGGTCAAATAAATGTCAAATCAGATTTCATTGTTCTACAAACTGTGTTACCTTTTAAGCTAAACGTAACTCTTAAACTGATAGTTCAAGCAGTTAAAACAGTGTGCTAGACCTTAAGAGTTTGTAGACTTTTGCTCTTAAAGATCACCCATAAGCCCAGTATTGGGCGTGGAAGAGTACATGAGTGCATAGGTTGGTAAAACAGACAAAAATGTATCTTTGTGGATTTCCCTGTTTTAAATACTTATTAAAAATGCACTTTTGTATGTCAGTAGGATGAGTAACTTTCCAAAAAGTCTTTTTAGCAGGAGCTTGACGTACTCAGTTCTGTGTCTGGTTAATATGGTTATTAGTCTAAAACGTGAACTTGTCATTCTCTTCCCCAGCCCTCTTCCAAAGCAATTAAAATAGCTTTGTTTTTATATAAAGGTAATGGGAAACTCTTCAGAATTCCAGAAAGCAGTGAAGTTGGTGATTGACACAGTTTCATTTGATAAAGACTCAACAGTCCAAGTTTTTGAGGCAACAATCAGGTATGTTGCTCTAAGTTTCTGTCTTTAAATCAATAACAAGGTTAAAGACTTGGTGTGCATATATGGCAGAAACCAGGTAAAATCATCAATAAGGATGTCTTTGGTATGCTTTGTTCCATAATTGTTACTTAAATAAGTTGGTTTTTAACCTTTTATGAAAAACGGGTTTTCTCTGTTCTGGTTTTCTTCCATGGACCTGCTTGCTTTCACTTTTGTTTTAGACAAAAAATAGGCCTGTCTGTCTTGGAGATGGGTTTAAGATACTGTCTGATTTTGAATGGCTTCGTTTTCTGAATGTCTTAAACAGTCTTTATTCAATTGCTCCTTTCCTTTGCAAGTCTGTCTTTTTTTTTTTTTCCTGAATACTGAGTTTATATAACAACCTTACTGCCATTTGCATGGGCAAGGAGGTCTTCGCTCATAAATACACTTGGTATGTTATAAGGAGCTACTGGGTTAGCTAAATTTTGCAGAACCAGTTTTTGGGGTGACTGTGACTTCCAGATGTTTTCACTGCTGGTGGGGAAAAAAGCAGATCTTTCTCTAATACCTGTAAAGTGCACAAAGTAATACTTCAATTAAACATGATACTGGTAAGGGTTTAGCTGAAGAACTAGGTTCAGATCAGATTTAGAAACTGAAGATCCTTTCCTTTTCCCATAGGGTTTTGGGAAGCTTGCTTTCTGCCCACATAATAATCACAGATACCAAACAGCCTTTTGGTGATATGACCATTAAGGATTATGACAATGAACTGTTGCATATGGCTCATGACCTAGCAGTGAGACTACTTCCAGCCTTTGAGAACACCAAAACTGGAATTCCATATCCTCGGGTAAGTGAGCACACCAGCACTGTGGGGAAACTACCTAAAAGCAGTAATTCGCCTGCCCTACAACTCAAATTCTGTGCCCTGTGTGTGCCTGTATATGTGTGCTGGGGTACTTAACCTGCTCAAAGTGATATTAAAATGGTGGGGGGGGTAACTGTGCTAAGTTATGGTGACATGGACCATATAAGTTGCTCCTTATGTCTAGAAAATGTTTTCTTTAGGCTGTTTTTTCACTCTATGTATTGTTCTCTATGGGTCAGTAGTCATTGATTTCTGTGCTGTTTGGTTGGAACATGCCCTTGCCCCATGGTTTCTTCCTATATATCATGCAGCAACAAACAATGCTGTCAGTAAGGAGATTAATAAGAATAATGGGAAATAGCATAGGAAAGTGTCTTTATTGGTGAGTTGGTACTAAGATAATTGTGATAAGATAAAACTAAAATACTTGTCATACTGGGCTTGGTTTCTGTAATTTGGTTAGTGAGTACTCAAGAATACTGTGTCCTTCTCCTTGCACATGCAGTTCACAAGGAAAAGGATCTCTGCTCTAGTGGAACAACACTAAACTAATTAGCAGTTGCTTTTGATTGCTGAGCACAGCAGCATTGGTTTTCTTCCAGACTTGTCAGCCTGTAGAAACATGAATTTTCCTTTCTGTTCAAATCTGGTGAATCAGTTGAGGGTGATGTAATTTCTCTTCAACATTTTGTTGCATGGGGAAGTTAAGGAGGGTTCAGTGAGGAAACTCGGTTTCAAGAGCACTAAAAGATGGGGAGCGGTACTGCCACCACCTTTGGAAGAACTTGAATGTTTAGTAGAAATGATGAAAAAGTGGTCTGAAATTTGGGATGATTAACAAGTAAGAGAGTAGCAAAATCAGGATTGCCCCCATTAAACATGATGTTAAAGCTGTAAGATGAATTTCAGGAATTCTTCAGGAAAGCTTTTCAACCAAGCAGTGATACCCCGGCTTTCTAACTATATAAACATTGCATACTACATATTGCAAAATGTAATGAAAAGGCTTTAAATATATCTGCAGATGAGAGCACAGCTGCATGAGGTGCAGCCTGCCTTATCACTGTTGTCACTCTCTTTACCTGCTTCACAGGTCAATCTGAAGAAGGGGGTACCTCCAGACAGCTATAATGAAACTTGTACTGCAGGAGCTGGTTCCTTGCTGGTGGAATTTGGGATCCTTAGCAGGCTGCTTGGTGATTCCACATTTGAATGGGTGGCCAGGAGAGCCGTCAAAGCACTCTGGAGTCTCAGGAGCAATAACACTGGGCTGCTAGGTAATCTCAGTTTCCTGTAGCAGAATGTCATCATGCTAGGAGTTTTATGTATCGTAAACCTTGTCAATCTGCTTTCTCTGTAGCTGTTAAGTCATGCTCTCCTTGGGTACTTGTGGTCTGTGTTGATCAAATGGCACTGTGTAATTTTGTAAGAAAAATGGAGTATCTGAATGAGTTCTTAGGACACAGGTCTTCACAGCCCCCTTTTTTTTCATGATACTGAGGTCCTTGCATTTGTATCCCCAGTAAAATAATTTAGATTGGCAGATGACTAGAAGTACTTAAAACAGCTGCATGTGTGTGCTAGTTCCTTGGATGAATGCACTGTAACACTTCATTTTGATAGTAATCTTTGTTCATTCCTCCTGAAGACTTTTTTGAAGATACTGTTTCTAAGTGCTGGTTCTTGATTGCTTTCCTCTGATGTACTTGGCAACTTTAGACTAAACTTTTTGTCTGTTCTGAAAGGAAATGTTGTGAATATTCAAACTGGTCATTGGGTTGGAAAGCAAAGTGGATTGGGAGCAGGGTCGGATTCATTCTATGAATACCTTCTGAAGTCTTACATCCTCTTTGGAGAAAAGGAAGACTTGGAGATGTTCAATGATGCTTATCGGAATATTCAGAACCACTTAAGAAGAGGGTATGTTATTTCATATGACTATCAATTCCTTAAGCAGTGGCCCAAAGCATGATATGATTGTACAGTGTTTTGTGTCATGCTCTAGAAATCAGTGTTTTCTTTTTTCTTTAAAAAACCGGTATCTTATTTCCATGGTAGTCACTGTGGAAATAAATTTTAATGTTCCTTTCACTCCTTGGTCATCGGTGTGAAGAAGCTAAACTGGTTACCATCCAGGTTAGTGAATGTTAAGCTGAGAGAAGGCTGTAGAGTTGCAAAGGAAATATATTAAATTGGCTGGTTTAGTACTTCTTGAGGCCTGATCTTACCTAGCATGACATTTTGGTAGAGATTCTGCTGACGTAACTCTAGGATATGATGTACATACCTTTATGAATTGATTTTTCTGTGAGCATGACCGACCTATTTGTTCTTTTCAAAATGGGTTTGAACCTAGCATGGCAAATGCGTGGCTTATTCTCTTTGCTGCTGGCACTGCTGTGAAATGAAACGTGCATTGTATTCTTCTGAAATAGTGAATATTTACATGTGCTTATTGTTACTTGGCAGTCGAGAAGCTTGCAATGAAGGTGAAGGTGACCCTCCTTTGTATGTTAACGTAAACATGTTCACAGGACAGCTGATGAACACGTGGATTGACTCTTTGCAAGCCTTTTTTCCTGGACTACAGGTAAGCTTCCATTCTGTTCAGGACAGTGCAACACAGTAGAGGGGTGTCAGAAAGGCTCGTTCTAATCCTAGGCTGGCAATGAGTCTAAGCATCTCTTCTGAGATGAGCTTCAACCTGCAGGTTTACATCTGGCTGCTCTGGTAAGACAGTCTTAGGGCAGTTCAGCTTCTGCATCAGCATAACAGTATTGGAAGGCCTTGCCTGCTGCCTACTAGATTTGAGATACTTTTCATTTTCCTCATTTTTTAACCTTAGCATTACTGTGAGACTGAGCTCTGCTAAAGCTTTTGGTATGAAGGAATTAGTGTATTAGCTTTCTTTTGTGTGGGGGAAGAGGGTTGGGGACTTTTTTTGTCTCTCTTTATGAGGGGAGTGTTTTATTATATGGCATGTTCTTATACAGAGCAGAAAGTAATTTGCTGGCTTGCAGTATTAAGCCTGTATGTTTATGGCTGTTGTTATGCCTAGGTATTGATAGGAGATGTGGAAGATGCTATTTGTCTCCATGCTTTTTATTATGCCATATGGAAACGATACGGAGCTCTCCCAGAGAGATACAACTGGCAATTGCAAGCGCCGGATGTTCCCTTTTATCCACTGAGACCAGAGTTAGTGGAATCCACGTATCTTCTTTATCAGGTACTTGACTTTTCTTGAGCCTTATAGCTCATATTTTGGCAAAAATGGTTTTGTTGAGAAAGTCACTTTTTCTGCCCCTAGCCTCTGGCCTGCTAGAATCTGGTGCCTCAGGATCTGCCTGTTCTTATATGGAGGTCTCTGTTTAGACACTAGATTGTTGTGCAGTGTAGTTGCTGTGTTGTTTGCTTTAAAAATAACTTTTTTTTCTAGGACAGGCAAAAAGGAGACTAAATGACCTTTTAAAAAAATTGCTGGCAGATTTTTACAAGGTGGAGACTTGTGACTTCTTAATAGAAATTGTTGGAGTAAATGTAATAGCTTTCCTTGCTATATTGTCTAGGCAGAGCCTCCAACTGGCAGGAGATAAAATAAACTCAACTCTGGCTGCAAGAAAGCTATCCAAAGAGTTTGAATTTACTACGTTTTATTGGTGTTTGCACTAAAGCAAATATGAGAAGCTTGCAGAGAGTAATCTAAGTCATGTTCCTATAAAGATAAGTTTGCTATAATATAGGAGAATCTGTTAGTAGAAGGCCTTTGTTGAAAATGCTGATTATCTTGTCTGTCTTTGTTATTTAGGCCACAAAGAACCCGTTTTACCTTCACGTGGGGATGGATATTCTGCAGAGTTTGGAAAAATACACAAAAGCAAAGTCAGTTTTCAGTGTTCTTTTGTCTCACTCCTATGCACATATATTATATTATATGAATATTCTATAGAATCTGATCTGCCAAATGTATGTAAACCAGAAAACCCATGAAAGCCACAAGTGATGATTTATTTACTGAGCAATGGTTTCAGTCGTCTCTGGACTGTAGTTTCATTTTCAGATAGAACTTTATGGCTTGGGAGTTTTATACCTACTTTGCAAAATGCGCTGTTGATGATCAGTTGCTGAAAACTGGTAAATTAGTAGATGTTTTTTGCTATGGATCCAGCAAGAATATTTCTCACATCATGGACTCATGATGTGTAACTAAACTGGAAGGGTGGCCTCTAAGGCAGATGCTGTTGCATATCAGCTTTCACTTCGAGACAGTAGCAGTGAATCCTGACTGTAATACTGAGAGGCTCACAGGGAAGATAGTGAATTTTTCTTCCATTATTGATATCTACTGATTTTGTAGACAAGTCTGTACTAACCATAGGACAGTGTAAACCAGTACCATTCTGCAGTTAAATGGGATTCACGTGCTGTATAGGGGATTGACTGAAAGAATTACAAGTGCACTGTGTGACAGCTTGCAGCTTTGTCATTCGTCACGTGTTGTGGGGAGAGTGGGTAGCTCAGGAAGAAACCTTTGCATGAGACCAGGCTTCCAGACCTGGGTTTCTCGTGTGCTCAGAATGGGGAAATTCCCGGTTGTGGGGAATTCCAGTTTTGTGCTGGGTGCTGTGAGATTATCTTGCTTCTTTGAGAGACTCTTAGCAAATCTGCACAATGGAAAAGGTGAACCACAGGGTCAATGACTGCAGTCTCATTGGAACACCAGAAAACAATAATCAGTGCTTACTAGTAAAAAAAAAGGCTTGTTTCATTTTAACTTCACCCCTAGTGACAATTGGAGTAGTCTGAAGTTAAGGAATATTTAGGGAGCGCTTCAAGATCAGAATGTGTGTTAACTAAACCCAAACCAATCTTAAATCTTGCAGGTGTGGCTATGCCACATTACACCACGTTGTAGAGAAGACAAAGGAAGACCGAATGGAGAGCTTTTTTCTCAGTGAAACATGTAAATACTTGTACCTGGTACGTATATGTTCATTTCAAGGATACTCTCTTGCATGTACTGCTGAGCTCTTAGCTATAAATTGTTGCTTGTAACCATTTTGCCTGCCTCACAGCAGCCTCTGATTTCTCCCCATCAGGTTTTGGCAGTCATTTAGTGCAGAAAAGCAAATAAATCTGACAGGATAGAAACAGTGAATGCCAGCCTAGCAGTGCCTGTATAGTGCAGTGCAGAAAAACGAGGGCAGTTTAAGTTGTGTGAAGAGTTTTTCTTTTGCCTCTCCCCTTTTAACTGCTAAAATAAATCACTTGCATTAAAACTATTTATTTCCATTAGCTCTAACAGTAGTTGCCCATTTAGCACTAAGAGGTGTGCTTTTTGCTTGATCCTTCAAATGCATGAGTGTGTGCTTTTTAACTTAACACTGATGAGACATGAAGAATGTTGCACACATACTAAAGCTGTCTCTCCCATCTCTTGTTTAGTTGTTTGATGAAGAAAATCCAGTGCATAAATCTGGAAATAAGTATATGTTTACTACTGAGGGGCATATTGTGTCTGTGGATGAACGTTTTCGTAACTCACTGTGGCAAGACATCCTCCCTGGAGAAGAGAACGGCGCAGAAAAAATTAAACCTAATGAGTTAAAGGCAGTCAACTTCAGCTCTAATGTAAGGAATACGCAGATTGTTTCTGATTGCGTGGCTGGAGAAGGGATGTGTGTTGAACTGGGTTAGGCAGTAGAAAAAGCCATTTAGGAGTGTTACTTTAGAGCTCTGCAGTGTTTGCTTTACAAATGTCAAATATCTGAGAAGTTCCCTTGTGAAAACCACTTTAAGTAGTGGAAAGGATGGATTAGGATAGTGTGAGGATGATTAGATTGAAGGTGAAACCTGTCCCCTTTTAAGCATTTTGCTGCAATTAATTTGCGCTTTGTTAATTTATTTCCCATTATTTTTCCCTTCCCCTTCACCCTTCAATTTTCCAGTGTTGCTGTGATGGGGAAAGAGAAAAGCAGAAGGTTATTTAAACAAAACTTTTCTTTCCTCGGAATGGTTTAGAGGCATGTAAAAGTGACCTTTCTTAGCTAGGCATCGACTGAGTGCAGAGCTGTGGATCCAGTGCCTGTCACCAACCAAAATAGATATGCTTTTAATACACCACAACTTTTTTAAATCTCTGCTAGTAGGTTCTAGCATGGTTCCTTTCCTCCTCCTCCCCCCCAGTCCTGCAGAAAAAAAGAGCATTATTTTAAATGTTCACAGTTGTCATAGTGAAGGAAGTCTCAGTTGAATAACAAGCTGCAGTAGTTTGGCATGTATTTGGAAGCTTGCAGCCTGCACTGGGGAAACACTTGCTGTTCATTTATGTGGTCTGTTTTGTAAGTTTGCAAAGAGCAAGAGAAAGTGAGGAACAAAAGCTCTGCTGGGTACAGTTTTCTGTACTGGGAGGAAATGTATGGTTACTGATGATGAAATGGTTACAGAGGGTGTGGGATTGACTGTTTTCGTATGTTCTTATTTTGTTAACAGTGTAACAGAGTTCCTGATGAGAGGAGGTATTTGCTGCCCTTGAAGAGTAATTACATGAGACAGATTGATCGAATGGTGGGCTTGATCTGAATGGTTCTTCGGAATAACTTTTACTGTATGTCAGGAGGAGCATGGGATTTGACTGTAGACATTCCTCTCCTCTTCAGCTACACACCTGCATATGCTGAGTCACTTGGGTTTTCCCCATGCTTGTTAATTTTCAGTTATGGACATGAAGGGAGATCAAGTTCTCTTACGAGTTCAGTCTTCTGAACTGTGGTCACTTCACATGCCACCTGAACAGAGATTTAAGACTTCCTATGAAAAATGTTGGAAATGAAGGCTGGATATACTTAAAAGAAAAATTGGCATGTGCCACTTAGCTACCTCTTTGTAGCTGTATTGCGAATGTCCCTTTAGAAAAGGGCCTAGTATTTAATTTGAAATGATTTTGGGATTGGGGAGGGAATGGGAAAGTGCAATTTCTTACACCAAGTTTTAACTATTGAATTATTCTGACTAGCAATACACAACCTTCAGTACTACTCAGGTAGGAACCCACTGGTAATGGGTTTTGCTGAAACGAAATCGCTCTATCTAGAATAGTATCTTGAAAAGATAACTCCTGATCATGTAAAAACTATCAGTATCGTCATGATATCCCTCAGTTATGGGGAACTTGCACGGTCACAAGAGCCTGTAGCTGCAGAAACCAGTAAAGAAACAAATCAGGTGCCTTTTTTTTTTATAGGGGAATGGGGGGGAGGGAAGGGGAAATTGCCACTCAGCTTTCCAAGCAGCTAACTTGATACAGCTTAACTGAGTAGAAGTTCCAAAAGTTGCATTGTCTGCCATGTTTTTAGTGCCTTTTCCAGAGAGATGCTGCTAAGAACTGGTATAACAGTACATGAAGAACAAACTATTCCACATTCCTGTCAGCATTAATATATTAGTGCCTTAAGTTTTTTTTCTCTAGCAGGAAAAATTGAGCTTGTTTGGGAAGATTGGATAAAGTATTTCTGATCAGCTGGTTACAAAATACAGTGGATCCTAAAGTAACTTAAAAAGTAACTTGCACATGTGACAACTTGTCTTTTTCTAAGACACTGGAAGAATATCAACCTCTGTGCCCATGCCAAGGAATATTTCTGAATTTTATTAATCTGGGCTGAATTTCTTCTCTGTGTCAGTGCAGTTAGTAAAGGGGCTGCCTCTGTATCGTCCTGGAGATGGAGGTAATGGTCTGAGCATGCACTGTGCCAACTCCCTGTGCCTGAACAAACAGAACAACTCTGTGCTCTACAGTTTAGTACATGCCTCTGTAATGGGTTGATGGCTGCAGCAGCTTCCAGTTCTGACTGCAGTGCTACCTGTGACCTGTGCCTTCTGATTCCAGTGAGGAATGGTGAGAACCTGCTGTTGCTGCATCCCACCTTCTTGAACTGCAGCTCAGATATGCTTGAGGAATAACTATAGACTTTCAGGAGAAGAGCAGTTAAATTCAAGCAGGGTTTTTGAGGGTTGAAAACTGAGGCCAAAACAACTTGTTCTAAATATAACAGTTGTTTAGTGTTTTATTGGTTTTGGTGATGTTTTTTTTTTTTTTTTCTCCAGTGACTCCCTGTTGCTTACATGCTTTTTAATTTTGACAACAGTTGAAGCAGCTGAATGTTACTGTTGGGTTAATTATTTTTAAATTAAGGCTTAAATATAAGGCCAAACTTGATCTGCTGTATTTTCATGTTCTTATAACAACATCGGTTTTCATAAACCAGATGTTGCAACTCAAAGCATTTCTAATAAATATAGAGTGATGAAGAGGTTACTGTTTGAATCCTTTAGTATACAGATGCATCTCAGGGACTTCGTTATAGATTCTTCTATTCCATTATAGTTGGATCTTGTATTCAGGCAAAAAAATAACAATCCTGTCTTCTTAGTCTTACTGTGTGTGTTTGAATGGGAGGGAGGGTTGGAGCGGGGAGAAGGAAACATGTTAAGGTTTCACAAAACATTGCAATAGACAGTTGCCTTGATGTTTGAGGCAGCTGCAGTTCCAGCTCCTGTAGAATTGGCTTTGCAAACCTGTTACTGGAATGTATTAGTTGCCTTTTTAAAAGCAAAACATAAATTCAAGGTGGTGTGATCCAAAGAGGTATTGGAGAGGTTCAAGGCAGAGCTTCTTGACCAGTAACATTTCCTTGGCATGCAGGTACACTTCAGTCTGTAATCATGTAAAGAAGTGCAGGAGGATACATGAAGGGAAGTGCTTTCTGCTGACTGAGGGAGGCAAAAATATCTGGGCTTTCTGAAATGCTGCTACTGGGCCAGATCTTCTGACTGTAGCTCCAAAATGACAAGTGCTTGGTAGCCTGGAAGCCAAATGCAGTGTTCCACAACTGGCCATTTAAAGTCACAGCATGACGGATGCTGCCCTAGATGTGCTGGTGGCTGCTTCTGGTCATGCTTTTTCCCTGCCTTGCAGTTTAGCTCTCTGAATGTGCATTTCATTTGCACTTGTAACTGCCTCTCAGTGTTTTGTGCCTTCTGCAACACCTGAGCCCCTGGTAAGGGTCCAGCTGAGTGTTACGTACAGAAATCTGTTTCAGAGTTTTCCTCAGCGAATTACACGGCTATAATGAAGTTGCACAACTGTTCTGCCACCGTGATTTTCCCGTTCGTTTGTATATCTCCAGAAATAGAGTGAAAGGTAGCTGTAGAATGGAACAGTATTGGCAGGTATCACAGCCTTTCAGCCCTTAGTGACTTGGACCATTAGTTACAGTGCCAAATACTATATGGTGAGCTTCTTGTTAGAAACTGTGTTGAAATCTGTGTTGTGAAGGTGATCAGTCATCTTTCATAGGAACAGTTTTTGTCTACAAGGAGACTGGTGCTGACTCTGTGGTAAAAGACTTTGTATTATTTACAGAGCCAACTTTTCTTCCTCTTTGTTTTAAAAATGCTTTGATACGTTTTTACTCTGTAATGACAGGGCACATGCTATGCACTAAAATTGAAACTTCTGTGTAAGTCAGTGATACCAAAATGAAATTGGTAACACTGTTGGAATAACTTGCTGAAACAGACTTTTGTATTTCTTGGTATAATGTGCAATATCAACTTTTCCTAATTAAAAATGCAATGTATGCTTAATTGTTTTTCCGTGAAGTATTTAATTGTGGATGGGAAATCTTTAAAAGGACCAAATGCTCTTCATGAAATGTCCTGAATTTTCAACGCTGAGCTTAAATTTTATGAATCTGCATTAAAAAATAGTGTATTTGACCACTCTTGTGTGTGTTTTCCTTATAGTATAGTTCTTGTAAGGTCATCATGAAGCTTGCAGGTGATTTCCCAAACACAGAGTGCGTATACCTGATCTTTGCCCCTTCACCAGACAGGGAAACGTCAGCAGTTAGGTAGAACTGGGAATAGGGGTGAGTAAAGGAAAACATAACCTGAAGTCTGTGTGCAAGCAGATTTGTGGCTCTCATTCAAGTCCTCTGTGACTTGGCCAATCTGAAGAGCTCAAGACCCTGATTTCAGTGAAATAACAAAAGTCCCTGCTGAGTTCTCTAGTTCTGTTGTAGGTGTCTATGGCAGTCCTGCTGTGTGGGAAGAATGGAAGTCCCTGACTGTGCTGCGGAGAGGGTTGGCTGGGAATTCACTTGTTCTGTGAGCCTTAGTGATGAACTGTCGCTGCTAAGAGTGCTGCTGTCTATTACAGCAAACACAGTTACTCCACTTTCTCAGAGGTTAGGCATACTGCTGGGTATTTTGGGGAGAAAGAAATAGACTGTCTCATCCAGAACTTGACAAGTCTTTGTCTCCAAGGATAGCTTGGCTGTGTCTTCACCTTAGACCTGGTTAGCTCAGAAAAACATAATTGAGGTGTGCAAGAAATAGCTTTTATTTTCCCTGGGGGAAATTATACTTCTCAGCCATATCCTTGCAGTAACACAGAAAATAAGTTAATGGTTTGCAGAAGTGATTACTCTCTGGGGTGGGCTTTCTTGCAGGCTTTGTCTGCCTTGGTTACTAGACACTACCTTCTACTAGATGCCTTCTTATCTATGCTAGATTTTCACCTAGTTAAAACAACGGATGGCTCCTTACTGCAGGAAAATTAATCTTCCAAAACAAAAAGTCTGCCCCTTCGCCCCCAGCATAATGGCTGGAGGGGCAGCCTGTGCTGAAAGCAGCGATTTGATGTGGAAAGAAGAAACAAAGCATGGCAGCACCAAGCTGTTGGCCTTGTGAGCAGGTAGCTGAGTCTGGGTAGGTACTGACCTACCTCCTGGTGTTTCCTGCTACTGCTTTATTAAGTTGGTCTGCGAAGAACCTAGTGCAGGTGGGAATTCTGCACTGTGAACCTCACTGGGCTCTTCTCAGTCTATGGGTAACTGTACCCTGGGAAATAGCTTGTGTTGTGTTTAAAAGCAGGAAGGTGGAAACAAACTATCTGGCCATCACTTTGATTTTATTTTTTGGTTGTTTGGTTTGGGTTTTTTTAATTTCTCCTGGATTTTCTTTTTCCCTCTTTGACTGACATTCTTCTGTTGTTTTCTTTTTTGTAGTCTTGATTCAAAGGCTGTTGAAGCTGACAGGGCATTTTCTCTTGTCTGTCTTGATCAAACTCGAAGTTACAGGGAAATGTCTATTGAACGTTAGTGATTGGATTTTTGCGATGTTTGAATTTTTAGATGAGGATGATGAGGTTTTTTGCACATCTCCTGCTACTTTTGCTGGGTTTGGACTTCTAAGTGTCAATTCTGAAGTAAATGTAAACGGTCTGAAATCTAATTTTAGGGAAAG